GCCCCACATATAATACGGCGTTAATGTGGGAAATGCGGCCCAAATTAGCGCCACTAAAGGTACGTAAAATTTACGTTGTAAACTAATCACGGGGTTAGCGGCCAAATCGCTCATGTCCACGAGTTTACCCTGCTCAATAACATCGGGGTGCTTTCGGCACATGAGCCAACCCATGTGCGCGAAAAAGAAACCCCGATTAATGTTGTGCGGGTCGGCGTCGGTGTCGGAGTACCGGTGATGTACTCTATGGTCGCGACACCACTCGTATATGTCGTTTTGTAGGGACAATGTTTGACCAAATGCTAACAACAATTGTAGCGGCATTTTGGCCTTATATGACCGGTGCGCCCATAGCCGGTGCGCTCCGCACTGATTACCATAAGGACATTTTAAAAAATTATTCACTGTAGGTTAGGCTAAAACATGTAGGTTAGGCAGATATGTGTAGTCAGCACATTTTATTCAATACTCACAAGTATACCAAAGGCCGAAATTGTGGCCACAAAATACATGAAAACAACGGTCAACGGCTTCGCCACAAACATTGATAGGTAGAGTCCGTAAGCTCCGGATAAATGCACCATGGTCAATGAGATTACATTGCGCCATACTAATTGCCGCTTAAAATATTTGCTTGGTGTTATCTCGGTGGTTTTTATCTCATTGTTCATTTTTATCGTTTATGTTATTCTGTTATTGTCTTTTAGCACTAATAATTTATTTGTCCTAATAAATAAAATTATATTTTATATTAGTTATAGAAATAAATGATAAATTAATAATTATACGCGCATAGCTCAATAAAAATAATTATTAAAATATGTAATTTATTCATATAATATTATATAATTATTTAAAAATATTTACGTTAATATATAAAATTACACTTAATTTTCATTAATATTTAGTATTAAAATTAAAACTAGTTATTATAAATTGTATGTTAAAATAGATTATTTAATAAATTTTGTTTACTACAAAATAATAAATGTTAAATGATAATGATTAAAATTAAAATTCATCAGATTTCAGTTTTATTATTTAAAATAAAAATTGCCAATATTCCACGAATGTATCATGTGCGTCAACAATAATTGTTGTTGTTATTGTAATTATTATTGTTTTTAAAAATTATTATATAGCAATAACAATATTCAATACATGTATAAATTCTGTACAGTAGTACACAAAGTTTGTTTTTAAAATTAAAAACAAGTACTATTATTTAAAATAAACTACCTAGACTCTAGGTCCTAGAGCATTGTAGTCTTTAATTAAGTAAATCAATACTGTAGTGATTATTATTATAAAAAATTATACTATATTGTACATAATAAAAATTTATTTAATTTATAAATTAAATTATATTTAAATAAAGTATATAATTATTGGTTAATATAGTTT